AAGAACTTGGATTAGATATCTCTTCGGGATTAAAAGTCATCATTTAAATGAATTTTTGTTTTGCAAGAAGGAGCTTACATGCATTTAAACAACAGTAAAACTGAAAAAATGGCACAGTACTAAAGATTTATTTTCTATTTTCTTCTTTCTTTACCATGGTTATTTTAATCTATATTTTTTCAAGTTGTAGTTCACATTTGAATTTTATATTACTATTATTCTACATGTTTCACTTTGGTTTGTCGCATGTTGACTTGTATGTTTATCCAAATACATAATAGGAAATAATAGTTCGTTTCTCAGCAAAGTGTTATTTCAAATATCAAAAAGTAAGTGGTGACTTTGGAAAAGGGATTTCTTCTTTTGTCAGAGACATGTCTCTTCTGTTAAACAATCACACAACTGTAATTCTGTAAGACACAGTAAAAGTCCATTGTGATAAAGATGCTAGCCCCTCTCATTCTTCTCCTGCCCATCATTATTCATCTACTTTGTGGAATCCTCCTCCTCTGCCTGCCATTTAATTATTGTGTTTTCTCATAATTCAGTTTAATGCCTTCTCTTTACTCTGTGTTCTTTTCTTGGCTGAGTTCACCCCCAGGCTTTTGGTAGTTTTGGCTTCCACCATATATATTTTACTAATGCACCCTTTTTTTTTTTTTTTTTTTTATCTCTGTCTGAAACTCTTGAGTTAGCTCCAAATTTGTATAGCTGATTTTTGTAATTCCACATAAATTTGCTACAGGCATCCTAAACTGAATTTGCCTGATATTGACCCATCACCACCAAGGCTATCCTATTGAATGATAGGTACCATATTCACCCAACTTGGCAAGCCCCAAACTTTGGAACTCATTTAGGTTCTTCTCTCATATGCCACATTTAATCCATCACCAAATCCAGTTTATCTTACTTGATAAACATTTCTGATTGATTCTGACCTGTATATCTCTAGTTACCCTACTTTTAGTTCAAACCACTATTATTTATTTGCCACTTGATTTAAAGATCAGCTGGTCATCTTCTTTCAGACTTTTTGCCCTCCGATTATTGGGTTGGAAATGGATCTTTGTAAATGTCCTATCTGATCATTTTATTTCTACTGAAGATTCTTTGTTTCGAGCCAACTTCTCAATATGACATAAAGATCCTTCTTGTAATGGTTTCTTCCATTTAATCCCACCTGACTTATTATTACTTTATCACTACCCACCACCTCAAGCCAATGCAGTCATTCTAAATTATCATTGTCCACTAGAAATATAATGTGAACCATATACATAATTTAAGATTTTTTCAGTTGCCATGCAAGAAAATACAGGTGAAATTATTTTTAATATTTTATTTTACCCAAGATATCTAAAATGGTATTTCAACATATAATGAATATTTAAAAAAATATTATTTTAGAGATTTCATGTTCATTTTTATGTACTACATTTTTAAAATCCATGTGTATTTTATACTTACAGCATATCTCAATTCTGACTAGCTATATTTCAGGTGCTCAGTAGCCACTGCATTGAATAGCACAGTTGTAAACTATTTGCAGTTTAGTGATAATCCCACATTTATCTCATGCTTTTACTTATGCACAGCTTCCTCTTACTGAAATAGGGTCTTCACTCACCAACTCTCTTATTTTACTAACCTCATCTACCACCCCTCCCCGCCAAAATACAAACACACAACCCAGATTATATTTGTGCTTAACCTCTGCTAATACCTAAAGACTCAATTTAGGCATTATTGCCTCTAGAAACCTTTCCAAACTCCTGTCTTTCCTCTAATCTTAGTTTCAAGTTTACTTAGCCTCCTTTATTTCATTTTATCATTAATACTTTTGTGTTATCCTTCTCTTCTTGGCTTAGAGTTTCTTAATAGTAAGGGATCACTTGTGTCTTGCTTATTTTTTTATCTTCAGCTTCATCTATTGTTCAGTGCCTAGCACTTAGTAGGTGTTCAGTAAATTCCTTATGAATAAATAAATAGTCTGTGATGTTTTCATTTGGGAATATATACTGTAGTTAAGATGCTTTAATTTGACTCATTGTTTCTAAATGCTGTTGAAGAGAAGCTGATTATACCTTAAATTTTAGTCTAGCATTTACTGTAATCTGATCTAGAGTCCAGGAAACCATACTTGAAGTCTAAACATAGTTTGATTTTTAAACAAGAGTAGGTAACTGTGTAAATCAATGTAAGATAAGGAAATTCTTAGGACCATCCTGGAACATATAAATAGAGAAATGGAAAACCTTGGTTTTGTTTCTAATTCTTTTTTCTTTTGTACAAAGCAGTTGCAGTTTTTTTGTACGAAACAATGTTGTTTTTACCTTTATCTCATCTTCAGTTATTTATTTTTCTGAGAAGAGTGATCTACTTATTCCTTTCTCTCTTATTTTATGTTTATTTAACTCATCTAGGTGCCTGTTGTGTGAACTCTTACAGGCAGCAGAGCTAACCAGCTAGCAGTGTTTTATACAAAGAAGCTGAACACATTGAAATAAGTAGAAATTAACAGTTCTTTGATTTGATACATTTTTTTACCCTTGAAACTAAGAACCTTTCTAAAAGTAACACAAATCAGATGATCATTATGATATTCCATATACAGTGGACTATAGCTTAGATTTACTTTCTGATTCACTGGAAACTGGATATAAAGGAGGCATTTTGGTACTGAAGGAGCTTACGGCAATCTTTTTTCTGATGCATTATGTGTGACCTATGCTATTGTATTTTTTTTTTTTTTAGAAAGAAAGTTTGTTTTTGGATGAAAAATGACAAGCATGAGATTTGATAAGTTTTCTAGCATTGCCATAAGAGCACTCCTGGCCATTTTTAGAAAATAAACAATTCTTAGGAATTGAAATTGGGCAAGACGTATAGTTTTTATTTTTTGCTTTTATCATGTTACCCCTGTATAGATAGAGGAAACAGATGAACAACTCTTAACTAATTCATTCTTGGTCACACAGAATTAAATTAACTGGAGAACTATTTGTGATTAGTTTATATTAGTTTATATTAATCAAGTAGAAATTACTGTTGTAACTACAGGTGAAATTTATTTTGTCTGAAGCCCTATTAGCTCATCTCAGTTATTTATAGTTAAGACAGTGAGAATATTCCAACTTTATGATGCTCATGGCTCTAAGTAAAATTTTTTGATTTGCTAACATTTATCTTAGGAATTTTAGAGATTTAAGTAAGTCTTGTGCAGTTAAAGAGGGAAGATTTAACATTTCCTTTAAACCAGAAAGGCAAATTTTATAGAAAAAAATTAATATTTTATTTGGAATAGCATTACAGAATAATAATTTATTTTTCCAAAATTAATAAATGGTGTTGTGGTTACTGTGGTAAACTAGACAGAAAAGATTTCTGTTCTCATAGGTCTTACATTTAGTAGAAGACAGTAAGTGTAAGTTTATTTCCAATAGTAACAAGGTCTGTGAAGAAAATAGAACACTAACACTGGGCTCACTTTCATAGAATTGCCAGGTGAGCCGTCTTTGAGAAGGTGGCATTTGTGTTAAGAACGGGATGAAAAGAAGGGGACTCATCTTTGTGAAGTCCTACGGAAAGAGCCTTCTAGGTAAAGAATGCAGCAAGTGCAAAGTCTGATTTGGCAACAAGCTTGGTATGTTGTTGCCACAGAGAAGGCCACTTAGGCTATAAAAGCAGATGAGGGGACAAATTACATGAAATAAGGATGAAGAAGTAGGTAGAAGGCCTTGATCTTGCAGGAGTTTTCAGATGTGGCTAAGGAATATGAAGGCTATGGAAAGCCATTGATGGGTATTAAGCAGGAGAGCAATGCCAATTTTGTCAAGTAGCTTTCTCTGACTGGGGAATTAAGGATGTGTCAGGAGGCTTTTGCAGGAGTTCTAGTGAGAAAAAGATCATGGTTTGGGCTAGGGCAGTAGCAGTGGGTATGTAATATATTTTGGAGATCAAACCATCTGATTTTACAGATAGTTTGGATGTGGGATGTGAGCTTAAGAAATAATCTAGAATAATTCTTAGATTTGCAACATGAGTAATTTAGCAGAGGGAGGTGCTGTTTAATGAGATCAGAAAAATAAGAAAGAGTGGGAGTAAAAAGGAGATGGATCATGATTTTGGTTTTGGACATGTAAGTTTGAAATGATTTTTAGATACCCATATGGAATCGTCAGATAGGAAGCTGGATATATGTATCTGGAAGTCCGGGCAAAAGAAGTCTAGCTGACATCACCTAAGGAAAAAAAGAGGGCCAATATGAGGTACTTTGTGTATTCCAACATTTAGAGATCAGGAAGAGGATTCAACAAAGGATACTGAGAAGAGATAGTCAGTGAGGTAGTAAGAAGACCAGGAAAGCAGATGGCTGTAGAAGCTAAGTAAGAAAGGAATGGTTAGTTTTGTCCAAAGCTGCTGAAAGGTCAGGGACAAATAAGACCTAGTCATGATAAAAGTCATTTTCTATGTTAACGAAAGGTATTTCAGTGGAATGGTGGGGATGAAAACCTGACTAGTGTGGATTCAGAAGAAAATGGTTGGAGAAGAAGAGATAATATTCTAGATTATAGATTATTCTTCAAAAAAGTTTTATTGGAAAATTGGAGTAGAGGAATTGTGTTGTAAATGCAATAGGACATGGAATCAAGCAACAACTGTACTAAAGCCTCTTTGTTGATAAGAATGATCCTATAGAGAGGTCACAATTGCAGGAACACAGTCCCTTGAGATGGAGAGAAGGTATGGGAAAGAAGACAGGTGAAAGGTTTAGCTCTAAAAAGGAGCAGAAATGCTTCTTCAGTTTTAGCAGGGGGAGAGCAACAGTATGTGATAAATGCAAATGGAGGTAGCTTCAGAGATGAAGTAGTTTTCACCTGATTGTTGATATCAAAATATCAACAATAGATAACAAGAGTTAGAAAACTTGTAGTCCGTTTCAGATTGTACTAACTTTAGCTCTGTGATCTTTGATAAATTGTGATATTGGTTAAGTTATTTGCTTTTCTGAGCCCTAGTTTCCCTAATCTATGCGAAGAGAGGATTGATTCCCCCAGGGTCCTTCCAGTGTAAATTATTATGCAATCTCATTAAGGTATAGTACTTTGTTTTTATTTGTTTATACTTTATAAGAAAAATAGTTATCAGTTGTCATTCTAATAGTTGCCTTACCTCATCTTTATCCATTTCTTCTTTTGTTCTTATATTTCATATTTTATGTCCTTTTTTTTTTTCCTTTTGTTTGCCTGTTAGCTTGTTTAAACTGTTTTTCTGACAGCTTTGTCAGCCAAGCAACAATGTTTTCTATAAGGACTAAGGACTAAGTTTTTTAAAGTGACTTTTCACAGGTGTCTAAATTTCTACTCTCTAGGAAGGCTTAGATCTTTGAGTTGCTGTATTTTCTAAGGAATACCTGTTTGTGTTCGTGAAGAATTGTAACAATACAGCATGATACAAGTATATGTAGGTTATTTATTTAATAAATAAGATGCCTTATTTAATAGATCTTAAATAATCAGAAGTTTGGCAAAGATAAAATATTCTCTTGTGTTTTGGGGGCTATTCTTGAATTTGTTATCACTATTAAGGAAGTGTTCTCATGTAATTAGTAATATTTTTAGGGAATATATAAAGGATACATACATAATTTATTGTGATTGTATTTCTTGTTTCTCTTTGGTGGAGAAACCAGACCCTACCCTAAAACAACTCATAGTGCGTTCTTGCTCATCTTGATTTCCCCATTGTCTAAAATGGCATCTGTTATCAGTAATTTTGTTATCAGTAATTTGGCCTAGTGGGTTCATGAATTGAATAGTATTTCATGGACTTTGGAAGAATAATTGCTTATATCAAGTTGTCTTAAAAGGGTACAAATAATATTTTAGGAATAATTGGCTTAAAAATAACATACTTGCTGTTAAAGATGTAGATCTGACCATAATAGTTTCTCTCTCCTTGGAAACATTAAAATAATATTAAATAAAAAAAGTAAACTTATAACATTGAAGGAATGATAGAGTACTCTCAGTAGATGAGTGATTACAATACATTTCTGAAAGAGACAAATAGTAATGATGGTTGAAACAGATTAGAACAGAGAGAAGACTGTGTCCTAAAATATTCAGGAGAGAACTGCAGCAAAGAGATTCTCATGTGTCCAACAGAATATCTATCAGAATCTCAGAGAATCTTGGGATTTAAAAAGTCAAAGAAAAAAAGATGATTGAAAAAGGGAAAGAAGAATAATTGAAAAACTATATAAAATGACATGGTTTTGCCTCCTTTCCTACCCAAATCCATGTACAGTGACAGTGTAATTAATACTTCCTGTTCTTCACTCCTACCTCCCATTCCCATCATACATACAGAGGTAATTTCTTCTGGAAATAAGAACAAAGACAAAACTAAAGAGAGTGGCTGTAGTGGACATTTGTTTCTGGAGATAATCCCTCTTCAAGCTTTTAGGGAGTCCCTGTATAATGGCTGATTCTCTGCTGTTCATCCTAAACTAGAGTGTACCTGTTAGCCAGCCCTACTCACATGTACATGGCTTCCTTTCATTCTTCCTTTTTCTTTCTTAAGTATTAATAGACAACCAAAAACTACCTTCAAAGATATAAAACCAGCAGTATATAAATAAAAAGCATAAGATAAACAGGAAAATTGTCACCATGTGAAATATAGAGAATTCCTGGATCAAAAGAGACTTTAAAACAAACAGAATGTTTTGTGCTTTCAGAGAAATGAAAATATATTGCCTCAGTAAAACAAGAACAAAATAATTATTTTTAAAAAGCAGAACAAGAACAAGTTCTTGGAAATTTAAGATGTTTGCACAAATTAAAAAGAAAACCTGGTTGGTTTAGATTGAATAAATCTCTTTGAAAATAGAATAAAAAGACAAAGCAGCTCTATTGTTTGACCAGTAGAAGTTTCAAAAAGAGTAAACAGTCAGTTATCAAAAAAGTTACATAACGTTTCTGGTGCTTAAGATACAAGTTTCCAGAATAAAAAGGAAGAAGGAGTGATAGGGGCAGCACAATCAATGAAAAAATACCCACACCTGCACACATTATTGTGAAATTTTGGTGTAATAGGAGGGAAAATCTAAAAGTTCCTAGGGAGTAGAAAAAAAGATAACCCATAAAAGAATGAGAATTTAATGAGCATAACTAGAGTATATGCTCATTAGGCAGGGACTTTTTGTTCTCATTACTACTACGTAGTGAGAGCTCAAAAAAAATGTGTAAAAGAATGACTATACTATCTTACAAGCATCTCTCAGGGTTTAGAATACATTGGAGCAGTGCAGTGTCTTCAAAGTTTTAGGAGAATACTATCTTACAAGCATCTCTCAGGGTTTAGAAGACATTGGAGCAGTGCAGTGTCTTCAAAGTTTTGGGAGAAAATGACTTAAAATTTGGAACCTATGAAAACTATCAGATATGAGGGCAAAATAAAAACATTCTCAGACATGCAGGGAAGGACTCAGAACATTTATCTCCTAACCCATATACTCTTAAGAAGGTGCTTGCAAATATGGACTAGTAAAACGAAAACTAATAAAGACATGGTGTGGGCTAGTAGAAATGGTCAATTAACACAGGAGTACAATAAAAGTAATTTGAGAATGACAGTGGTGCAACAGATCTAGAAAGTAATTGGTTTAAGTTAGAATAGAAAATCATTGTCCTCCAAGAAAAATGTCTTTAAGAGGAAGAATGGAATGGATTTTAGTTTTCAGATAGAATGATTTAAGAAGCTGGAGATATCAGTGATAAGAAGGATGTTTTTTCCTTTCAATTAGAAAAGAAGGACAATTAGGAATTCTAAGGAAAAAATCTTGTATAGCCAACATGTAGTTGCATGTTGTAACCATTTAAAATGAAGTGTGAATTAAATCCTCATCTTTCATAGCCTAAAATTGCTAATTCAAGAAATACGTAAGCATAAAAGTGTAAGTCATTAAAATAGTTGTCCTGGAGAGGAGAATTGGGATAATGGGGATAATGAGGAAGTGGATATTTGCTTTTATTTTTTTTTTTTTAGCTATATGTATATATTTGGAGAGCAGGAAGAATCCTGATGTGTAAGAGATGAGTGGCAGGTTATGTTATGTGGAATCTTATCCCGTGCCATGAAAAGTTAGGTGGCATCTCTGACTTAGATGGTTGAGCTACTCATGCTATGTGCATATAAATCAAATAATCCTCATATATACCATATAATCAACTTTTAATTATTGGAATTAAAACTGAAAGTCTTTGACAGAACGTTAATCAGAATTTACTGAGCATCTTGTAAATTTAAATTGTAAATATAATTGTTAATATTTACTGAGTACTTATTGTGTAGTAGTGATTGAATTCTCCCTTTTAATCACAACAATTCTCTAAGGAAGTTACTATTATTCCCATTTTACAGTTGAGAAAATTGAAATTCAAATTCAGATTGAGAAGTTAAGTGACTTCTCCAGATTTACACAGCTAATAATAAGTGGTAGAGCCACTTAACTGCTCTAATTCATCATCCTTTTTTTTCTAGACAGTTTTTTAAATATGTAAATATTTTCTTTTATGACTGCAGGCTGATATTACATATTTTTTAAATATTAGTGCTTGTCCTTGGAAGTGCTGATTTCAGATCTAATAGCTAATTGACAGGCACTAATACACGAGGAAGTAAAATCTAAGTTCTAAGTCTGTTTGCTTAACTTTTTAGAAAATCTTATTTACTAAGGAAAATTTTTAACAAATGCAGAAGTAGAGATATTACCATCTCTGTCATCCAGTCAACAAACTATTATCATAGCCAGTCATTTCTTTCATCTCTACCTTTACCTACTTCCCCTACTTGGGTTGTTTTGGAGCAAACATCAGACATTATTTAATTTTATCCAGAAATATCTCAACATATATCTTGAAAAGATTAGGATTCCTTTTTCAAATAACCACAATATTATTACCTCACCTAAAGTGATTGTGATTCCTTAACATAATTATCTATTGTGTTTAAATTTTCTTGATTATCTTATAATGTTCTTTTTCATAATTTGTTTGCAACAGGATTGAAATAAAGTTCATGGATTATAATTGTTTGTTTTCCTTAAGACTTTCTTAATATATAGATACACCCCCATCTCTTTTTTTGCTTGCAGTTTATGTGTTAAAGAAACCAGTTTGTCTTAATAGAATTTGCCACAGTCTGGATTTTATTAATTGCTTTCATGTACATCTGTCTCCTGTATTTTCTGTAAATTGTCATTTACATTTTGGCTATTTGATCAGAATCAGATTTAATTTTTCTTATAGATGGAGCAGATTACTTTAGAGGTATTGTTGTGTCCTATCTAGAGGCACACAGTGTCCGCTTGTTTCTATTCTCTGGTGTTACTAGCCATTAGTGATCATTGTCTAGCTTCATTATTTCATTAGTGGCTACAAAATGGCAATATTCTAATTCTATCATTCTAATATTTCCCTTTTTATTTATTAGCTAGAATAATTCTGTAAAGAAATACTTCCCCTTAGTTACTATTTTATTATTTTGAGATATAGCTGGTAATAGTAGAGGCAAGATACATGTTTGATTTTTTTCTCTTTATTATATCAATTTTAATGTGAATTAGTTGGATCCCTAGCATCTTCCAAAGGTGACAAATTAGTTTTTTAAAATATCATATGGCCTAATGGATTTAAACATATGTGATGTGTTTTGATTCTTTGCCGATAACAGTTCTTATCGATAGTGAAACCATTGCATCTTTGGCTAATAGGAGCTCCTTCAAGTTGGTTCCTGAGCCCTTTTGACATCTATCTAGTGTCTGATAGTTTCCCTACTTTCTAGTGTAACCAAATTTCTAGATTCTTCATTTCATCTTGTATGATTCTTCCCTCAGATATAGAATAAGATATTTTATGAGGAGCTCTAGTTTCTTTTAAAGGTAAATGGTATTTAGAAACTACATCTATGTGCTAGGAATGTTCATCGCAATTGGTTTGTTCTTTGGTTCTATGACTTTTCAATGGACAGCTAGGAAGTAGTTTTTTGAAAAATATAAAATCCATCATAAATTCATACTTATACTCCTACTTCAGACTACAAAGTTTTAAAATTCATATTAGTTTATATTTGTTTCTTCACATGTTGAAAAACAACTTTGCACTTATTTTTTTGTCAGGATATATCTCACTAGGGATATAAAGTCAAATCATTGTGTTTTAAAGTCTGAACTGGTTAATCTTTGTGGTTTTGCCACCAACTGTATCTGTAGTTAAAATGATTTGTTTCATTTCCTTTTGATTTACAGTAATTGAGTTTTAAAAATCTAATTTCTAAAAATTATAATTTCCAAAGTCTACAAAAATTATAGACAAAGAAGTCTAGCTGTAGCTGTAATCCCTGCCCCTAAATTCTGTTTCCTCCCTTCCCCCACAGCTGTATTCTTCAATCAGCTAACCACCAGTACATGTGGCTTTTAAAATTTTAATTAAAATTCAATAAAATTAAATTAGTTCTTTGTCGCTTGCCACATTTCAAGTGTTCAATAGCTACATGTACCCAGCTACTTACTGTATTGGACAGCACAGATTATAGAACATTTCCATAAAATTATATGCATATATTTATAATTCTCTCCATTTGATAAATGGTAGTATACAATACATGCTTTTCTTCATCTTTTTCTTTATACAGTCTGAAGATCATTCGAGACTGCAGAGAGCATACAGAGATAGTCCTCATTCCTTTAATAGCTTCATAGTACCGTATTTATTATATAGATGTTTAGGTATATGTAGCCAGTTTTTATTGATGGTCATTTTGATTGTTGTAGTCCTTTACCACCACAGTAGTGCTGCAATGAATAATATTAGTGCTGTCTTGTATATGTCTTTTTTCATATATTACTAGAACTATATTTTTGACACTAATTTCATCAGCTTTTTGTTTCTTCTAAATATTAAAAAAATTAGTCTAATTATAAAAGTAATTCAATTTTATTAGAAAACAAAAATATATTAGAGATAAAATCACCTAAAATTCATGTTGCTCAGACAGACACTATTTTGGAGTATACATATTCCTTGCTTTGCAATTTTTTTTCAGTTCCTGAGTCTTCACACAGGAAGACTACTCCTTTCAATGAATATGTGTTGTTGATATCCTATTGTATACACCAGTTTAAATTTTTTCTTTGCCATAAGAGTATAAACATTTTCTTTGTTAACAGATGTTTTGTCAACATTTCTAACAGTTGCATGATATGCTGTATTGATTTTAACAGTAATTTTAATTATTCTACAATGGTTAGATAGTTAGGTTCCTTCCTTTTGTTTTTTAATTGTACTGCATTAAACATTTGCACATAACTTTTACCCTATTTTAGATTATTTTCTTGATATCCAGGAATGGAATTACTGAATCAAAGGTTAAAAGCATAATTAAAGTTGTAATACATCTTGCCAACTTTTTTTTCAAAAATTCTGTGTATCTTTTCTTGACAGCCATTCTGGTGGCATGGAGTGTTGTTTTGAAAAAATCTTTGATAATTTGATAAGTTTAAAAATGGTATCTAAGTTGAATATTTTTATGTGTTTATCATTTGTATTGCCTGCTATGGGTCTTCACATGTATTTTGTCCATTTAACTTTTGTCCTCCTGTTTTTCATATGGGGTAGTATGAAGTTTATATTTATGTGCTAAAGGTGGCAAGAATTTTTCTGTCATGTTGCAAATGTTTTTCATCAAGTGTTTTAATTTGATTTTTTTTACATACTTTAGTTTTACATTTTTATGTAGTCACTTTTGGATGTTTTCTTTGTTCTTATTAGCAGACTTGTTCTTTACTCACCTCTACCTCCCAAAAAAAGAAAATAACTGGTTATTTGATCATTACTCACCTATTAAAATCAACATTTGTATTTATTATAAATCTTAAGATTCAAGGGAGTCAAATTCAATTAATATTTATTCAGAAGCAATTATATGTCAGGTACTTTACATGTTCTCTATCTTGGCTATGACAATCTGTCTGTTCTCCAAATATGTAAATAACTGAAAATATAGATGAATTATAGTCTCATTTAAAAATAAGTAGTATATTATTTTGCTTCTAGTATCTTTCATTGTAATAAACTGTAGATCTCTATTTCAAGAAATATCATGAGTTTCCCTCCCTCTTCCTTAATTGTAGGGGGAAAAAGTATATCTTCTGGTTGCTAATGTGAATTGTGGACTACAGACACATAGAGAAACAAATTGCACAGACATGAATATTATCACCAGGATCTAAAGACTCTAAAAAATGCTCTTCAGGCTTGTCATAGATTTTTCTGGAAAAAAAGAATTCTGTGAAATTATGTGAATAGAGACTATTTTTGAAAACCATGGGGGAAAGAGAAAGAAGTCCAGATACTGACCAAGAAAGTAAGGCAGGCAAACACCATTACTGTTATTGTTCATCTGATTTTGGAACTACACCACAGTCTTCTGGCCGGTCATCGCTGGTCAATCCCTCTTCACCTACAAGTATTAAGGGAAAAAATTCTAAAAAACAAATTTCAGATAGCCAAGTGCATCACCAAGGTAAGCATTCTTTGAAAGAGCCCAGTAGACCTAGAAGATTGATTTCGAGTGCTTAAGGAAAGCTTGCATGAATGAAACTCTTCTATTAGTATGTATATTGTTACATGTAAATAGGCTGGTTTACATTCTCAAGGGGATATATTTTTATAAATTTATGTAAATTGCTTATGGCATTATTATCCTTTGTTATAGTCAGTTATAGTATAAACAGAAGAAAGAACCCTAATTAAGGCTTCTCAGTTTGTTTTCCTCCTAAATAAATGCTTTTAGGATTTGTGAGGTACTGTAAAGGCAAAACAAACAAACATCAAAACTTTTATACCTTTCTTTGTCTTCATTTTTAAAAAGTAGTGAAAGCCTTCGATATAAAATGGTTAAGTGGCTTTTCTTTTTCTTTTTTTTTTATTTTTTAGATTCAGTGAAATTACTTCCCCTAGGTAACAGTGCTTACTGCCAAAGTTCAAATTAAACCTAGGAATATAATTTGGGACTTGAGACTACCAGTCAGTTTTCTATTAAACTGTGTTATAAATGGAAACAAGATTAATAATTAAAAATAATTTTCCTTATTACATGTCACTATTCTGGAACTAGGTATTAATACATATTTGACTAGATAATATTCTAGAAATCTCTTCTTCATCTTAATAAATCTCTGGTCAAGAAAACCCCGATGTACTACTTAGTAACAAAATATGTGTAAGGACAAGTACACCATGGAAAAATAGACTATGGTAAATGAGGTAATTACAGTATGTGTTAATACATGCAGCACAGTTAGCAGTAGCTTAGAATGGTGAGAGTTTAGATTGCAAGGCAGGGAATTGTAAAATTGGAATCTGAAAAGGAAAATGGGAGCCAGGTTATAAAACAATTTGAATCCAATACTGATAATATTGATTGTTTCTGTGGGAGAATAATTAGCCATTGAAAAGATTTAAACAGGAGTATAATTAAATTTACTTACATGAATTTTTACTTTGAAAAATAATATTTGTTTTAGGAAATCCATAAGAATATACGTTCCTTTGGAAAGCAACCTTTTTATGGACCCCTGATCTAGCTTCCCAGGGGTATCAGTACTGCTAACAGTTGGATCTCGCTCTTTCTTTTTTCTTTCTTTCTTTTTTTTTTGCAAATACAATGCTGCAGGTTTTTTGGTCTCTTCCTCCAGATCTGTCCCACTGTAGGCCTCTTGTTTTGATTTTGTGGTTGAGAGCATGATCTGATATTAAACTTTTGCTACATAATTAAGAACAAACAGACCTTAGGGTTGAATCTTGGAATATGCCTATTTATTCCCAAGAAATAATTTGCATACCTAGGGAATTACTGGAAGGAATACTTTAATTTTCACTCCTTCCCCAGAAGCAGTTTTGGAGGCCACCCAATTAAGGAGTCAGAACTCCTTAAGCCTTATCTTATTTGAGAAGATATTGAGAAAAAGCTATGAAAAACAGTCCCAGAATCACCAGAAATGTTTCAGTTATTGTCTTCAATATTACTTGTACAGTTTTATGTTTTGCATTGTCTTCTGCAGTAAAATCGGTGGTAATTTATCTACCTTAGATCAAGTAACAGCACCAAACTGATACCTTTCCTTAAACACCAAGTTAATGTCCCTTGGTTTAAGTTGCAATCACCATTGTAGACTAAACTAAGAAAGGAACGAATGTAATTAAAACAGCATTGTGAACACTTGAATTTGCAGTTTGCATGTTTAATAGCATAGTCTTCCTTTTTATTTTCATCATTTTATTTTTAAAAATGGTACTCTATCAGAAGTTACATGTATAAAGATAAAATTTAATAATAGTTTAGGTTATGCATGTTTAGGTTATGCATGTTTGTATATTACATATTCTATTTTTTTAGGTTATACATGATTGCATATTACATATTTCTTATTTTATCAGTAATATAAACATCTTGAGTTTTTGGTAATACATAGTTTATATTTAATACATGTTTTTTAAATGAGCTGTATATTTAACTCCTAAAGAAAAAAAGCAATATTTTCTCACCATATTTTTGGTGGTGACTTAAGGAACAAATGAAGAATGATATGCACAACAATCAAATTATCTTCCTTCTCACTCCTATTAGCACTATGTTTCATTTCGATAGTTTTAAAAATGAAAAAAAGGTAGATGAAAGCTGGGAAATATTTTTCAGTTCAGGTTAGGTGTACTTTTATTAATCAGTTTGTAGTTATATAAATAGAAGATGCTAAAAGTTAACATTCAGATTTTTAGGATATCAAAAAGCTGGTTGTGGAAGCCCTTTATGTCTAAATAGCTGAAGTAAATATTAGGGGGAAAATTTATCCTGATTCTTATATAGGCTTTAATTTTTCAAATAAAACAAGTTTCTTTTTATAGGACATTTTGTTTGAGTAATGTAACTTTGTACATAAAGATCAGAGATTTGGAATTATTAACATTCATCTTTACTTATGTATAATTATTTTATGTAAAGAGTTTCTGTCATTCTAAGAGCTCAGTACATATTTTATATAGATACCAAAACACTGTTAACTCGGTATGTTGAGAAAGAAAATTGAAATGATGGACTCTCCAAATTAAAATTGGAGCATTGCTGCCCATTGGAAATATAATGCAGGTCACAAATGCAAGCCACATGTGTAGTTTACATTATCTGGTAACCACATTAGGAAAAGAAACAGGCGAAATTCATTTTAATAATATATTTTATTTAGCCCAACATGTCCAAAATATCATTTTTAAAATATAGGGAATATAAAACATCATGTAGGGATATTCTGCATTCTTTTTTGTTTTTTGAAGTGTTTAAATTCCAGTGTTTATTTCACAGCTATGGCATAACTATTTGGACTACCCATACTTTAGATTTCTCAGTAGCCACATGAGGCTAGTGACTACTATATTGGCTAGCGTAGTTTCAGAGTTGCAAGTCGATATTCCCTCATTTATTTCCCTCATTTATTTTATTATTGATGTTTTGAAGCATTTATAGAGCTGGAATCCTAAATAGGTATACATTCAAAACACCTTCTATATAATCTTTATAATCTTCCATCTTTTTAATGAGACTTTATAATGTTAAATTGTAAGTACTGTTTGTTATTCTTTGCTCATTTACATAATAGAATCAGGGTATTCATGGCTGGAGAGATGGTAAGGAAAGGTTGGGTTTTTCTAGTTATTTGTTTATTTGTTTTTTACTCTGGAATACATTTCCTTCTTGAAAAAACTGCAGCCACCTTGGAGATTACAGTTTATTATTCTCTGTGGCAGACATCCAGAATCCTCTTCTAAAGGGCAGGCGTTCTTATATTGAGGCCTAAGTTTACTGAACTTTTAGTAAAAATTGCATTCTGAATTTTTGTGAAATGTTGACCTAATATGTACACTTTAAGGATTTCATATCCTTATATATTTTAGGATGTAGCATTTAGTTTTCATCTTGTTTTCAAATTATGTCAGATTTTTTTCGATATGACCATCACAAAACAGAATGCCCCTGAGAAAACATTTAGAATCACATCTGTACCAAAGTGTTTTCCATTTTCAATCACTTATAAATGGGATTAACTTCTTATTACTGACAGAATGTTTGTGGGGAGCTTTGTTTTACATCAGACTTTATTTAATCTTCACAACAACCTAATTGTATAAGTGGCATTATCCTCATTCTGTATGTGAAGACAATAGACCTGCAAAGGTTTCGTTGAATGGCCCAAGGAGTTATTAAGTGGTAAATATGAGTCCCTGACCCAAATCTTCTCACTGTACAACATGTCATCTTGTTTCTGAAAATAAAGAGGTCTAATTAAACATGTATTTCCACATTTTAAATAATAATCCCAAATATTTTGTTACAAATAACTTGAATAATACAATGTTTTGTCCAGTGTTTAGTAGGCACCATGTTAATGCTGATGATGTCCATGTTTGAATTCTGATTTGCCATCTTACTATAAAGTTAAAAATTTTAAAGCCTGATACTGCCATCTCTTAAAGCAAGGTAAAATAATTTCCTATAAACTATTGGTATATCATATATTATTGACCTCTTTTAAAAATTCCAAACGTTTCTTAATAAAAACATTACATTAAGAGCTTTAATTAAAATCTGTTATTTAACAAAATATTGTAAAATTACATGTTAAGGAACAAAATAAGAATGTTGTGGATCCACTTGTATTAGGATTAAAAATAATACTACATTTGGTACAGCTTTCACTTTACATTATTACTGTTTCTTTTTTAGCCCCTAGGAAACCAAGTCCTAAGGGTCCACCAAACAGAAAGGGAGTCCGAGTGGGATTTCGCTCCCAGAGCCTCAATAGGGAGCCACCTCGGAAAGATATCGATCTTGTTACAAAACGAGTTCTTTCTGCAAGACTGCTAAAAATCAATGAATTGCAGAATGAAGTAACTGAACTCCAGGTCAAGTTAGCTGAGCTGCTAAAAGAAAATAAGGCTTTGAAAAGGCTTCAATACAGACAGGAGAAAGCCCTGAATAAGTTTGAAGATACAGAAAATGAAATCTCACAACTCATTGTTCGTCATAACAATGAGATTACAGCACTCAAAGAACGCTTAAGAAAATCTCAAGAGAAAGAACGGGCAACTGAGAAAAGGGTGAAAGATACAGAAGGTGAACTATTTAGGACAAAATTTTCCTTGCAGAAGCTGAAAAAGATCTCCGAAGCTAGACACCTTCCTGAACGAGATGATTTGGCAAAGAAACTGGTTGCAGCAGAGTTAAAATTAGATGACACCGAGAGAAGAATTAAGGTAAAATTCCTACAGTTCGAATTGTGCTGTTTTGTTTTGTTTTTCATTGGATATTTAATATGTTCTATTAAGACTTCTTATTGCAGTTCAGGATTTACTTGGAAATGAGAACTTTTTTTAGTGTATCTAAGAGATTAGGAAAAATTTGAGATTGTATATTTAAGAGCAGAGTGCAAAAAACTACATTAATGGGCCACGTGTTAATGGATGAATGTTTAGTTCCATGGATCATAGTCATTTTGGAGAAATATACTATTCGATTATCTGATCATTTCTCTAAATTGAAAATGAAACTATAATAGCTGTAGTGTTATAAAACTGACATTTTGGAGCCATTGTTTGAGAAATGCCACATGAATGATACTCTGTTGAACAATATTTCTTTGAACATTTGTGAAGACATCTTTTGAGGTAGGATGTACCCCTAGTCCCCAAAATAAAAAGTGACATGAGAAGTCAGTAGAAGATTGTTGAGTTACTAGTCTAAAATACAGGAGATGTTTTTAAAATATTTTTTTTTCTTGAAAGA